AAGTTTTTCTTGCGCTGTAAAGAAGGGAAACCTATTACGGAGAGGAGGGGAGCCAAGAAGATTTTACCGCTCGGGGTATTTCGAGGAATATTAAGCTTTTTTGAACGAAACGGTCGGAGAGGAAGGTTTTGTTTAGCTGGCAGAATCAACGTTTTGCAAATTGATCGCCAGTACGCTAACCGATTCGATTCTTTGTTGCGTCACTGGATACTTCCATGAATCCAGTCTTTCAAAAAAAAAAAAAAAAAAAAAAAAAAGGGCTTGCTGGAGGAAGTATGTGTTCTGTATTTTCAGGAAGTCGAGGAAGAAAAAGTTAAAAGTGTATGTCCCTTTGACTGCTGGAAATGTCAACAGAGGAGGAAAGAAGGAAGGAAGGAAGAAGAGGAATGAGGAAGGCCAGAACCAGAACTTCCATTTACTCCAAGGTCACAGAACTTGTTTCGGAGCACAGTTTGTTATAGAACAAATAAACGGTATTGTATGAAAGATGCTCTTCTTGAAATTTAAAAGTTATAATCTCACCAAAAAATCTCTTAGATTACAAATGAGAAACACCCCTGTAACCATCTCATTCCTAAACATACAAAATGATTCAAGAATGAAACTTTTTGATTCTGTAACTTGTCTCACGAGCGGGCAATTTTCCTTCACGTGAGAGAGAGAGAGAGAGAGAGAAGAGAGAGCGAGCGAGCGAAGAGAGAGAGCGAGCGAGCGAGCGAAAGAGAGAGAGAGAGAATCACACAATGTTCTCCAGTTCTCCCTGACTTGATTTCCAACTCTTTACTCCCCATATTAGCGTTCTGGACCAGTTCTCTTCCCCTGCCTTGTTGATTAGGGTTTAATTCGGTTACTTCTAAAAGGTTCGGCTTCATGTATGTTTGTGTTGTCTCTTCATATTTCCTATTTCGCTTATGAGCTTCTGGATTGGCTTTGCGGATGAAAAAATAGATGGAGGATGCGTTACGAAGTAGTAATGGAACGTCATCAGCCCTGGCTAAGATATTGCCGGTCATGAAACCCGAACTCAAACAAGCAACAAACAATAAACACATGAACCTGATTTGAATATATACATATCTATAAATGCATACATATACATACATACATACTATATATATATATATATATATATATATATATATATATTATATTATATTATTCTGCTGGATCACAATTTCTGATCTTAGAAAACCACGACTGATTCAGAAGCGAAAACAGGTGTCACGCACTTCAGTCTGGGGCTCCTGTCCC